CAGTTATCTGCAAAATTTACAACTCTCGATTTTTAATGACAAAGCTTCAAAGTCATCCCTGATTTCCCCAATCAGATTTTAACATCTAAGATTATAAGTCAGATTTTCACACTCCTGTTATGGAAGCTCACTGCCATCCATCCAGGTGTCATAACATATATTAAAAAAAAATGTGTGGGAATTAAATTGTAGCTCTTAATAGTGAACAATGTGTAGCTAACTGGAGGACTTAATTAGGCTTTACATGCAGTTATCACGGAAGAATACATATATATGTCAAAAATGTATTCAGCCTAGAGAATATTTATATACTACAATAGAGCAACACTATCACTATATGCCTATTATTTCTACATAATACTAAAATGTTATGTATTGTGTGTCTATAAGTTATAAAAATATCATTATTATAGAATATAAACTGTAATGATAACAATTTTTTTATATTATATTAGCACACTATAAATAATAGTCACCATCATATAATAGTGCAACATTTACTTTCAAGGACAAGTATTTTGATACAAATCCATAGCCTGGGTGGTTATTGTGAGTTATTTTAGTGGTGATTTCTTTTTTTTTTTTTTATCTCTGGACACTTTTAAAATCCTGCAGATGTAATGAATTATTTCTTTTATTGATCATAGAGTATTGCAGGAAAATACATCCAATCAACTAGCAGCAAATATGGGAACTGAACCCCTGCTGTCCCTATTCGTTTGAATGAGAAGTGGAGTCCTGCAAAGCCTGTTCATTTTATTGAGATCTGTCTGACAAAACCCAGTGGGCATTGTCTTTCTCTTAATATGAGCAGGTTATTTATTTGCTTTACCAGAAACAGCATATTGCATTCAAGACAGGTATCAGTGCCTGCAGGATAATTATTCTTTAAATTTTTTTTCTTGAAAACGACTGTTAAATTCACTGCTGTAAATTAATAAAAATTTACCTCGAAATCTATATTACAGATAAGGAAACACTACTATGACAATCCTCATTACTCATCCTCTTGAGTGATGGCATCTAAAATTAACCATTGTGTGCTAATTATTGATCTCTCATTGGGCTGTTGCAGTCAGCTCAGGCATCATTCTGGAAGAAGATTTTGCTTCTGCTCCAGAGAGCCTGAAAGCTGGACAGTGAACTGCAACCAAGTAGCCTGAAACTGTGCAAATTCAACTATTAGCTTCTCAGGTCCACTTACTGTGTTGATAATTTCCTCTCAGATTGCACACTTGGAGCACTAGTTGGATTGAAACAAGAAAGAAGAAACAGAAGGGGATGCTACTGTTCTGCAGAGAGCAGTTTTTGGATAACTTCATCTATGAGCACAATGGAGTCCTAGACAATTATAATCTGAATTAAAGCAACACAATGGCTGTGTGCTGTAATAACATATGCTCCCAGTAACTTTTATCTCATGTTGTTGAAGGGGTTGTCCTCTACAGACAATAAATCTCACAGAAATATTGTTCTTAAATCAGCAGATTACAAACTGCAAAGCTGAAGCTTCAAGGCCACGTAATGAGGCAGTATGGAGGATGCAGCTGTTTTGCAATTACAGTTCTAAGAAAAAAATTTCTAATATTAGGCTGGATTTATATCATCACCTATTTGTGCTTCTACTGAGAATAAAACAGAATGAGCTTTTCTAACTAGACACCTGGGGCTATGTTTTGTCCCAGGTTTCACCTGACATTACACTTCAGAAGGGCTATATTTCTGAAACTCATGAGAGAATTTAGTCCTTTCAGCCAAAATGGAAAAATAACTGCTTTTGTTATGGCCATCAGGAGATTAAAAGTGTCATAAATTAATTTGTTCCTATTACCACAATCCCCAAATGAAAAAAAAAAAGAAAAATGAAAAAACCCCTGCCAATCCTCAAGCCAAAAACCCTTATAAAGGGAGGACACTGGGAATGAACCAGCAATAGCATATTTATGTCTTAAAAATGAACTGCTCTGGTGGAACCAGCAATAGCATATTTGTATGTCTTAAAAATGAACTGCTCTGGTTTAGGAGTACCCCAAACAACTTTCAGAGAAGGCTTAAAGTCCCTGTTTGACCACTACTACAGTCAGATATCTTTCTCATCCTCTCATTGCCTCTCCATGAATGGAAATCCAAATGCCTTACAGGTTTGTTGTGTGAGGGTTTTTTTTTCTTTTCTTTTAATTTCTACTTTTTTTCTTTTTTGCTTTTATTTTAACTCTTTGAATTCATCTGTTTTATTTCTTCTGTACTAAATGTTTTGGTCAGATTTTATAATCAGAATACAATGTCTGTTTTCTACTTGAGACTACTCTGGCAGAGGTTATTGGAAGAGAGGATGATCACGGTTTCTTCCCCTCTTCTGGCAAAAGTCAGAAATCTAAAAGAAAATCAGTGCAGGGACAGTGTTTTGAGGTGGGATTTCTGGCAGTTTTCAAAATTTATAATATTATCTCAAAGATAAAGTTTTGTGTCCATTTTATTCCCTCAAATGGGGAGTGAAATTGCTCAGTCTACTGTCATTTATTATGCCTTATAGTATTTCCCCTGAATGATAAAGATAAATATAGCATGTCCTTGGCCTTGAAACCATGTTTCATAATCAGAAGAATTTAATCAAAAGCATCATAACTATATAAATTGCCTCTGATGGGCTGAGGATGTAAACTACTCACATACCTCTTCAGGGCAGCCACTGTCTACCCAATCTTGCCGGTGACGGTCAAATCCACTGGAGCATCTTTAAATGATGAAATAGATAGAAGTTGTTCAGATGGAAACAGGAGAAAAACAGGAACAAGCAAACAGGGGAGAGGAACAGACAAGAGTGACAGAAAGAATAAGTAAATGGTGTGATTTAAAATCCATATGATTTATGTGGTATCAGTTTTATCCAAGAAGTTGTGGCTTACAATAAGACTCACTCCTTTAATCTACTTCACTGAAAGGTGTTTCAATGAATGAGGTTTTATTCTAGGGTTTTACATTTATTTATAGTTTTTAAATAGAAATATCTCCCTTCTGCTGGATAGTTATTCTTAAGACTGTCCTGATCCATAGCATTTTTAAGTTTGATGACAACCATATGGATGTAAATTGGTTTAACTGTTTCTCTCCAGACTTTTTAACCAAGAAAATTTAATCCCACAAAGGATGCAGTGAACCAATCACTGTTTTTATGAGGCAAAGTGATCTGAGACATCAAGAGACATATAACAGTGTAATCAATGTTCACAGCTCCTCTGAACACTCTTCATGACAATTAGAGAATACTATACAGATGTACTTCTGCCTCCTCACTAGATGCAGAAAACTTCAGTTGTATGAATATTTATTACCAAATTAGGTGAGTTTAATAAACTGTTCGCAATATCCTTTCTCATTTGCAATAAGGAGTGGAGAATTTTTTAAGAAACTTGCAACGCTTTAATATAATGACTCCCATAGCAATCCCCATCTCATGAGTGTTATCAGAGTAAGTTAGAGTTTCCTAGACAACAGGTAGCATCACAAACAGCAAACATTATTAAAATGGCAAGCAAATAATTAAACCATGATGTTCACCTTTGAAAGATATGCTTCCCAGTTAGGGCATTTTTAATTTTGGAGGGTTTTGTTTTTGTTTTCCGTGTTCATTTCCTGCAATATTTTGTACTGAGACAAGGTGATGTCATTTGGCACCCATGGTCAGAACTTACCTGACTGTACAACAAACATCTTTCTTGCTGTCTTTTAATAAGACTAGGCAACCAAATGAGGCCACTGTTATGGTGAGCAGTATTTAAGGGGTAATCTTTTGTTCTCAAAGAATTGAAAGATGATAGGATATGGCAATTAATACCCTACTTCAACTGAGGTAAACAGGTGCATTTGGAAAAATGGAACACTGGAATTACTTTTATAGTAGGAAAGGATGTTACAAGAACATGTAAACAATGGTAACCACATGCTTGGGATAAGAAACTTCTCCATATAATTATTCTGAGCAGAATTTACAATGTCTTTGAGGAAAGATTTTATGAAAATGTTTGTTCTCTTGCACTGATCCATGTTCTGCCATTTGCAATGTTACTAAACAAAATGCCCCAACAGTAAGAGGTGTCAATTGTCACTCATTTCACAGCAACTGACTTCTCAAAACACCTATTGCAGTTAAGAAAAAAGATGTCCAAACCAGAAATGTATTCCAGAGAAATACAAAGACCTCCTTCCTAATGCATGAGGTCCCCAAGATAGGAAGGCTATGGATCTGCTGGAGCAGGTCCAGAGGAGGCCACAAAGATGACTGCAGGACTGGAGCAATGTCTTATGGAGACAGGCTGAGAGATTTGGGGTTGTTCTGCCTGGAGAAGGAGCCTGGAAGACCTTATAGCAGACTTTCAGTAATTAAAGATGGCTTACAAGAAAGATGCAGAGAGACCTTTTTTTCAAAGCCTGTAGTGGCAGGACAAAAGGTACTGGTTTTAAATTGAAAGAGAATTAGATTTATATTGGACATAAGGAAGACATTTTTAATAATGATGCTGTGAGTCACTAGAACAGATTGTGTCCAAGGACCAGTTGGATGGGGCTTTGAGCAACCTTGCATCTAGTGTAAAGTGCCCCTGCCCATGTCAGCAGGTCTGGACTGGACAATCCTTAGAGGTCTCTTAGAACACAAACAGTTCTGTGAAAAAAGGCCACTGTAAAAATTGCTTTCTTGCTGAAGGGTGAGTGAATCAGTGCCATGCTGGGAGCTCAGTGATATTTCTCTATTTTTGTGGTGTTTTGACTCCATGAATGTTTGAAGGAAAAAGGAAAATCTTACTAAGAAAAGAGAAATGATGACATGGCATTCCAGGTATGAATAGAACATATTTTTTTTCAGTCTCCCTTATTTTTCTCTTAAATTTGAAGAGTTTCATTAGCAACCTTTCTTCCCACCTTGAAGGAGACATGTACTGAATACTCACAAATCCATTACATGTTATTCATACTGCTCTGGATAAAATCTAATGGGTTTGAAGATATTCAGTATGTTGGAAAGCCAAGCCCAATATTTAGATATGAAATCAAGCCACTCCATAAATTCCTACACTAGAGGCAGTTACTGCATATCTATACAACACACCTAATTCAAACCCAATTGTACTTAGAACTAGTAGGGATTAACCAACTTTTATTTTAGATTTTATCTTTCATATAAATTGTGTCAAACTTCAGGCTCCAAAGATTGAATTAATAAAGATGGATCCCAGGTGTACTCATTTACAGGTCTTAAGTGTTTTCTGACAAACTGCTGAATTACAGTGGTGAGTAACATTGCTGGGGTTAATTTTTCCCCCCAGGATTTAACAAACCACCAAAAATTGAATGCAACATGCAAGGACTTGAAATGGCTATTTCAAACATGTAAAGCACACTTGATATGACCCTGCCCTAAAGAAAAATACATTAAACCCTGGGCACTGTTTATTTAACATTTTCCACTGATGTATAGTGAGTCCAAACAATATTATCAGAAAGCAGCTTTATCAGGAACAAAATGGGCTCCAGGCAAACCTGTCTGTGAACTTCCTTTGAGGCTCATATCAATGAGATGTCAGATGCTACTGCCCTTGCTGCATCGCTGAGTTAGAATTCTGGAAACTGTCATTTCAGTGCACTCCCCACTTTACTGACTGCATTTTTAAGACCTACATTTAGTAGCATGGTTATAATTCCCTGTTGCCATAAAAACATTTTGGAGCAGATTTGATTAGCTATGCTGTTTATGCCATCTGTCAACATGGCTATTTTATAACAACTTCATTTTCAAGTCATGACCGAAATCAGCTCCTAGGAAAGCAATAATAAAGATGTTCTAGGAAATGAGAAAAGGGACATTCATGAAATGTAAGGAATTTCAGGATTTGGGTGGAACTCAGGGAGTACTGTTGCAGGGAGGAAAGGGAGAATTCATGTCTCTGCATGTACAGCAATGATGATTTGGCATAACTAATGCAGCTGAGGCTGAGTAACAGGAAAGCTGTCAGAATCCTGTCAGTAAACTATATGGAACCAGAAAGGAGTTGGAGATATTATCAGATCTATCAAATGCCATTCACCTGTATTTGGCAGAGAACACTGAAATGACAAGAAGTGTCCATTCAGTCCATGTCATGAAACGCTTTGCTTCTTCTCTTTGACGAGAGTTCAGTAATTCTTAAACTACTACTGCCATATAACTAATTACATAAGAATTAAATTATAATTCCTAATAATAATTAATATAATAATAAAATAATCAGATGACCTGCATACAGGAAATTCATCAAGGTTTAACCTGTAAAAGCTAAAAACAGAATGGAAAACTTTTGGGAAGGAAAGGGACAAAGTCTGTATGGAAAACCCTTTTCAGCAGGTTGAGCTGATATAAGACAATCAAGAGCATTTAAATGCAGAACATATGTCCTTCAA